TGTACTTTTTGATACAGCGTAACTCGAAAACCGTATGGAATACAAAAAAACGGAGACCACCTCCAATGTTGGGCTTTACATGCTCTACAAAATGCAAAAAAGAATGGGTCTCTAGCATTAACGGTTCCCGAATTAGAGACAGTTTTCAGTTTCGGTATCTTATGGCCGCTACTCCCGTGAAAATGCACCGATTGACCCCAAATTCATGGAGATGAAAGATGACCTGAAGGGTAACACTTCCCAATAATATTATTGGTTAAGTCTGTGTGGTGTCTGAATAACAGGGCAAAAAATTTTTTTTTCGTAAAAAATTTCATTTTTTTGAAAATTTTGGCCCATTTGACCTTGAAGTAGAGGTCAAAGGTCAAATCCAAGGGTATATTTGAAATCTACACATGTGACTTTTGGAAAGCCGTCTATAGAAATTTTTCCCATAACTCCTTCCGTAGGGTAGATAATTAGCATTTAATTTTGCCATTTTTAGACAAGGGTGCATTGCAAGGAGTGCCACACCCAGACCCCAATACCGACAAAGCCCAAATTTTACGTGGAATGAGTTGAGATTATAGGTGACCTAAATCCATGAGATGGGTACGGGGGCCCTTACCGTCTAGGAGGATAAGCGGTAACGGTAGCCATCCGGCGGAGCCGGCGGAGCCAACGGAGCCGGCGGAGCCGGCGGAACGATCCGGACGGGACCGAAACCATGTGTACCGCCAGCGCTAACGCTGGTGGTACAATAATGCACATCATTATTCGAAAGAATTAAAATTAACAAAGGCACTTAATGCAGTGACCAATTACAACTTAACACAGTTATTTGCAATCATCCACAGCACCAATATTATGCCAATATGTCAGGAATAGTCATAACAATCAAAAAAGAAAACCACTTATAAATTAATTCTCACCTCTACCTCATCTCGGGTATCATTGACACAGCACACCATCAGTTTCAGCAAGGGGACATGTTGAGGCTGAAATGACCCAAACACCAAGGCAGAAAGGCGCTTACTGTCACATGACAAACTGTGTTTGCAGAACTGGTTCACAATTAAGACACATTTGGTGTTTGTCAACACAGCAGAATCACTGCTCAATACTTTCCACCGACAAGGGGCATTTAAGTGAGTTTCTGACTGCCATATGTAAAATGGATTGTCCATTCTTGAATTCTGAGTTACATTTTCAGGACAGATCTTTCCCATCTTTCTTTGACGTGTGCCTGATATGCAGTGATAAAATGACAGGTACACTGGTGTTCTGAACCTGAGGCCATGTGGTCCACAGACAACAACTGGACTTGCTCTAGTCTGACATGGTGGCAGCGGTGGCATGTCTTCTTCTCTCCAACTTATACCAATGAACATTTCTGTAGTTTCAGCCAGAGCTCCTGGAGGCACTAACAAGAATACTCCAACTTCCTTCAGATGAACTTGTCCACCTTCTGGAGTGATGGAGAATCTCCTCAGGTACGTGTCTTTGACAGCATCTGTCCCTATCTCCTCACTGTCTTGTGAGGTAGAGTACCTGGTCTGGGATGGTGCAGGTGACTCTGACTTTCTTTCTTCTTGAGACATACCGCCATCTCTGTCTCCTATAGCAATGTATTGAAAGAAAATGTAAAATTAATAGAAATGTCTTTCTCCTGATCATTGTTTAACTGTAATTTATCTGAACAAAACCTACAGGTTCAATAAATAAATATGTCAACTTCCTCACTGCTATTGTCTGGGCCAAATATCAAAAGTTATGATGTGAAAAAAAAAAAAATAGAATACATTTGGGGCATTCCTAACACCTAAGTATATTGTAAATCTGAATTCCCATGCACATCATTGATGATCTGTCTATCAAATCCCAAAGTTTTGGAAGAATGATATGATCAAGTCAGTTTTAGAACTGAGCCTTTACTAAAATTCATCAGTTCTCCAGTTTTAAAGACAAAAGTCTACTTGGTTTTCCACTCTGAGTTAAAGTGCATGACATCAACCTCAACATGGGCATTGGCAGAAACAGAGCAGCTAGGTTAGGGCTACATGTACAAACACAACGTGTCTGTTCATAAAAAGACTTCAAACTGGAAGCAAAACAACAAACCAATGAAATTGCGCAGTGGAAAATCCAACTGTAACAAAATCAAGGTATCAAAGAATTTTTAAACAACACCAATAACTAAATAATGCTTTTTAACATTTATATTTCATGGGTGTGTAGAGTTCTATGATAATTTACCTCCAGTAACACTTGGTAATGTTGTGGCAGGTGGAGTAACACTATCCTCCTGTTGAATAAAAAAAAACAGTGATCAGATACTCAGAGTACTCATTTATTTACAAAACAAATATATTTCACAAAGATACATGTAATATTCATGTACAAGTTATAACTGAGCCACACTTCCATAATATATTTATATGACTTACCTTCTCACTTGAGTCTGGCATAAACCATAGTCTGTACACTGAATCCTCAGGTAGCCCACATTCTGTGAGATCAGCCTCCTTCGGATCCATTGCCATCAGCTCATCTCTGACCTTTGGCTTTCTTGGATTTCTGACACACCATTCTAGATGTAAATGTGGGCAGATTGTCTGCTTAACTTGCTGAATTTGCATCGAAACATGGTTCTTCCACTTAGCATATGCCCCTCGGATTGTTCTGTCAAACTTTGTCGTTGGGGGATATAAGGGAATCAGTTCGATGG